CAATGGTATCAATGTGGATTTCACAAGCTTCAAAATCTCCCCTCCCTCTACCGCATCCCAAAACCAGTCCAGCTCGTCCCCGCCTCCCTAACCTGTTCTTCCTCCCACCTATCCCCTCCTCCCACCTCAAGCTGTACCCCCTTCTCCTACCTACTAACCTCATCCTGCCCCCTTGACCTGTCCATCCTCCCTGGACTGACCTATCCCCTCCCTACCTCCCCACCTACACTCACCTTTACTGGCTCCATCCCCGCCTCTTCGACCTGTCTGTTTCCTCTCCACCTATCCTCTCCTCTATCCATCTTCTATCCGCCTCCCCCCTCTCCCTATTTATTTCAGAACCCCCTTCCCCTCCCCCATTTCTGATGAAGGGTCTAGGCCCAAAATGTCAGCCTTTCTGCTCCTATGACGCTGCTTGGCCTGCTGTGTTCATCCAGTTCTGCACCTTGTTGTCTCGGATTCTCTGGCATCTGCAGTTCCTACTACCTGTGTCTACATGGGTGGCTGCTTAAAATAGGACTTTGTAAAGACGGTGTCTTTTAATTCTGTATTTTTGATTGTGGACTGAAATAGGAAGAGGACTATGTTTTAAAATGAAGGATTGGGGAAGGGATTGCTGCACTTTTTAAATGATACTGAAACTCGATGTATGTGGTGTTTGCGCTGCTGCTCTGTTCAACCAGTGGGGAAAGGCTGGTTGCAGGCGGGGCTTGCACCGGTTGGGGGTGGGGGCGGGATGTACAAAGTGAGACTTCGCTGGCAATGAGTAGCAGTTAGTTTGTGGAGTTGTGACTAGCTGTTAATAACAAAAGTCGTCATCCCGTCAACAGCTATTTGTTTGGATAGCTGAATAACTTGTGGATGTGAGCAATGTACCCATAAACATTTGGACCTTTGCAAGGGGAGGTGGTGCATGTCTCTCTCTGCAGTAAAAAGAAACCTAAGCCTGAAAAAAGCAATTTATTTTACCATGCTAGTTGCTGTAAGCTGTGGCTTTTGACTAATGACTGGGATACTTTGCAAAGTACCAAGTGCCTGTGCCTCCTGCAAAGAATGAAAAGGATTCTGGAGAAATGACATTGAAGAACAACAGGGGAGTCCAAAACTAAATGGCACAGGTTTAAGTTGGGGGGTAAAGTATTAAAAAGGACCTGAGGGGCAACTTTTTTTCGCAGACCGTGGTACATCTGCGAAGTAAGCTGCTGGACGAGGTGGTGGAGGCTAGTACAATTACGATTTTTAAAAGGCATCTGGTTGGGTAAATGAATAAGAAGGGTTAAAGAGTGATTTGGGCCAAATGCTGACAAATGGGACTAGATCAGTTTAGGATATCTGGTTGAAGCGGATGAGTTAGGCCGAAGAGTCTGTTTCTGTGCTTTACAACTCTATGACTAAGTACTGGCGAGCAAAAGGATCATCTCAGCGAACCCTGTGGACAGGGACCATCAACCTGTCTTCCCAGATTTTTCCTCTCCACCCATAACACCAATGTTTTTGTCTTGTCTGTGGTCTGTGTTGTCTGTCTGTCTGTGTGTGTGTATGTGTCGGGGAGGGGGTGGTGTTTACAAGGGATTTATAGTTTTAATTAGTAGAGATATGTGCCATAATTCTTTGGTGTTTACCTGTAACTAGAATCTACTTCTTTGTAATGAATGGTAAATCTTGTTGAATACAAAACCTGGTCTGTGTGTTCTGTTCACCTGAGTCTAAACATAGTGTTAAATCAGGGACATTTTTTGCGTACTTTGATAAAATCTTTAACTTATGTGAGGATTCCGGAATAGCAGGGCTTGATTTCTACAGTCAAACTCCAGTGAGGCCTAACAACTTAGATGTATACTTTTGTTGTTTCAAAACTGTTGACCTCATGTTGCCTATATTGAAATATATCTGCCAGTTTCACATAATTATTCAATTTGTCAATAATTGTACTGCCAACCTGGGCAAAGTTGCATATATGGCTTTCTATGTAGGCAAACAATGTTAATATTGCCCAGACCGAGATAGTAGTTTGGGGAGAGGATGGAGTCACCAGGAATGTATAGTTTTTCTAATAGATACAAATGTCCCTTTGATTTGCCTAATGCCTTTTGGAGAGATTGAAAATTTCATTTTGCTGAAACAATTGGTTCTGAATATCTGTTACTTAAAAGTGAATCACTTTGGTACCATTGTATTTGTCATGTGATTACTTGATGCAATTCACTTGTCCTCACATTTATTTGTTATTCTTTCCACTATTCAGAACTGAGTGGCAAATTGAAGCCGTGATTTTGTATGATATGGAATAAAGTCAAATTGGTAAATAGTGACATTTGGTAGAATAGCGAAGTCAAACTAGAATATCTCAGTTGTAAATGGTAGAGTTGCCTAGTTCACACGGCAGAAATCATTTTCAAACATATTTTCTTTATCAATTGGGTTCTTAAATAAATGTTGACTTTGCTAGTTTTGTCCACATCCCAAGTATTAATTACGCGTTTTGGTTCCCTTGACGGCATTAAATATCAACAACTGCATTGTGCATGACTGGAGTTTCTTGTAAGCCAGAATCCAGGTATGTAGGCCAACAATAAAAAAGGATCCAGGTAGGCATTTTACCTTCCTGAAGGAGATGAATGAACTATTTGGCTTTTCTCTTGCAATGTAATTTTAATACCTTGAGAAGTTGTTTATGTGAAATCATGTTGTTATTATTGGACATACATCACCGTTTGTTTGTTGTCACTGGATCAATATCCTGACCTAACTCTAACAGGAGCACCTTCAGAAGGACTACAATGATTCAAGAAGATCCACTGCATGATAACTAGAGATGGGCAACAGATGTGGCTTTGCCAGTGTGTCCCAAAGCCCAAGAGCAATTCTATTTTAAACATGTATCAATCGGGATGAAGTCCAATCCTTCGCAGTTCACTGTCACTTAACTCAAAAGATAAAATTAATTTATCACGAAGTGTCCAATGTTTACATTACTTATGTTTCTGCCTTTAAATCATGAGTTTTTTTTAAGAACAGAGGCTGATTTTTGAAGTATTAAACATAATCTATATTGAAGTTGTTCCCTGTATATACTGAATAATATTCTTTTGTCATTTAAAAAGAGGTGAAATTTCACACTGCATCCGAACAGCAGATTGGAAAATACTCAAGAAAAGAGTTTTCACCAAAGTTATTCTTCCACAAGATGTTTTAAATGCACCTCTTGTCCTATTGAGTTTTGACCTCTTCTTAAACTCTTATTCCACCAGCAGTGAGCCCGTTGCAGTTTATACTCTGTTCAAACGTTTGGCTACAGAACTGGTACTAGGAATTTTTCTTAATGTTGATGCAGAGGAATCTGCAGCACTCTCCAAACAGATTACACAGCTTTCAACGCAACACTGGCATGGTAAGGATTCAATTTGGGTGAATGACAAAAGGTGGCAACAATATAAAATCATAGAAGAGCACAGTTTTAGTACAGAGGCCTGTCATTTAGCTCATCAGTTCTGTATGTTGTTTATCACGACATGAACTACTTAGTCCAATCTTTCCTCCTCACTACTCAATTCCTTTAATATCCCTCTGATCTTATTTGAGCTCTCCTGGTGATTCTTCAGACTTTTAATTTGCCGCTGTGTCTAATTCCAGTTTCCTATATGTTTCACACAACCGTTAGTAATTCTGCTGTTAGATCTCTTATCTGGTTTTCCTTTTAAAGAATTTACGTGCTCTGTTACATCAAATTGCATTCATTAAACTAAGCAGAACTTACAAGGCAATAATCACAGGATTACAACTTAAGGCACGGACAGACTGGCACAGAATCAATAAACTCAACGAGTTAAATGCGTGGCTTAGAGATTAGTACAGGAGGAACAGGTTTTAATTTGTGGGGCACAAACATCAGTATTGTGGTGGAAGGGACCTGTACTGGTTGGATGGTGTTCAGTCATACTAGGACCAGTGTGCTGGTGAATCAAATAACTAGAACTGTAGAGAGAGCTTTAAACTAGTTAGAAAGATGAGAGAGGGGCTACGCAGGCTTACAAGCAAAAGGATATGGCAACATCACAGGGAATGATATTGGTGCTAATACTCAGTGAAACAAGTCAGGACAGAGTACACAATTATAAGAAGACAGCAGCAAATAAGGTCAGTGGGGATAATATGGTGAAAAGGCAAAACTAATGGCTCTTTTTTTAATTGTGCGTAGTGCTTGAAACAAAATAAATGAATTAACGGTGCCAGTAGGTAGACATTAATGGGTATGGTCTTGTGGCCATTTCAGAGATGTGGTTGAAAGGAGATCAAAACTGAGTGCTCAATATTTGGGGGTGTGTAACTTTTTGAAAAGACAGATATATGGTTTGAGATGGAATAAGTCCAATAGCAAGAAATCCTGTTGGATTGGAAGATGTAGAGTCTATATGCTTTGAGGTAATAATTAACAAAGCGAACATGATACTTGTAAGAGTAGTCTATAAGCCCCTCCAACACTAAGTATTCTGTAGGACACAGAATAAATCATTAGATTATAGGGCATGTTAAAAAATACAGGGCATTAATCATGGGTGAATTTGATCTTAATGCACATCAGGAAAATCAAATTGACAAGGTAGCCAAAAGGAAGAATTCATGGAATGTATATGGGATAGCTTCCTTAAACAAAATGTTGTGGATCCAACCAGGGATTTCAGGCTATTTTGGATCCAGCAATGTGCAATGATGCAGGTTTAATAAATGGTCTCATAGTAAGATAGCTCCTCGGGAACAGTGACCATAACATAGTAGAATTTAACGTTCAGTTTGAGAATGAGGAACTTGGGTCAGAAACAACTGTGCTAAACTTAAGGATAATTTCATAACAATAAGGGCTAAGTTGGCTGGAGTGGACTAAGAAGGGAATTTAGCATAAAAAATAGTTGAGAAACAAAGGCAGTTGTTTTGAGATAATATTCATGACTCATAGCAAAGATGTACTCTAGTGAGGAGTACAGATTCTAGGGAGAGGATAAAGTAACCATGATTAACCAAGGAGGTTAAGAATAATATCAAATTAAAAGGGAATAAAAAGACAAAAATTATTGGTAAACCAGAGGATTGGAAAAGTTTTAAAAATCAGTTTTTAAAAAATGATCAAAAAATTGAGAGAATATGAACTGAAGGCAAACTATCAAGTAATATAAAATGAGACAGTAAAAGCTTCTTCAAATGCATAGAAAGAAAAAGAGGTCAAAGTGAACGTAGGCCCCTTAGAGAGTGAGGCTTTGGAAATAATAATGGAGAACCAGGAAGTGGCAGAAGAGCTGAATAAATAGAACACTTTGCATCAGCGTTCATGGTAGAGGACATAAATAGCATTCCAAAAATACTGAATTAAGCCGTGGAGGGGAATTGGGGATGAGGAGGGAGAATAAACAGAACAACACGCTAGAGGAAAAAGTACTAGGGAAACTAATGGGGCTAAAAGCTGATAAGGCCCCTGGACCTGATCATACGTGTGCTATGATTTTGAACAGAAGTACCTCCAGAGATCATGGATGCACGGGTAGTGGTCTTCCAAGAAAGTGGGGAAAAAGTCCATATGTTTGCAAAACAACCAATGCCACACCCTTATTCTAAAATTGAGTGAGCCAGAAAACCGGCAACTATAGGCCAGTTAACTAAGCATTTGTCATTGGGAAAATGCTGGAGTCTATTGTAAAGGATGTAATAGCAGTGCATTTAGGAATACATTTAAAATTAAGCAAAATCAGCATGGCTTCATGAAGAGGAACTAATGTCTGACAAATTTACTAGAATTCTTTGAGGAGGTAGCAAGTAGGATTGATAAAGGCAAACAAGTATATGGTAATATATTTAGATTTCCAAAATGCGTAAGATAAGAGTCCATGATATTGGGGTAGTACAGCAGCATAGCTGGAGGATTAGCTAACTTATAGACAGATAAAGGAGGCATTCTCAGAGTCACAACTAGTAACTAGTGGAGTGCCACAGGGATCAGTGCTAGGGCCACATCTAGATATATATTAATGACTTGGATGAGGAAAGTGAATGTATTATAGCCAAGTTATAGCCATATGATGCAAAGATTGGTGGGAAGAAAACTGATGTAGATGATACTGTGTCTATGGAGAGAGATTAGGTTGAGTGAGTGGGCAAAAACCTGCCAAATGGAATATAATGTTGGGAAATGTGAGGTTGTGTGTTTTGGCAGGAAGAATAGAAGAGCTGATATTAGTTAAATGAGGTAAGATTGCAGAATTCTACAGCATGGAGGGATTTGGAAGACATTTTGCATGAATTATGAAATACTAATTGAATTTTAACAGGTAGTAAAGAAGGCAAATGAATTGTTGGCCTGTATTTCAAAGGGAAGTGGAATAGTCTGGCTAAAACTGTACATGGCATCTGTCAGATCACAGCTAGAATACGGTGAACACTTTGGTCCTCTTTCTAATGAAAGATATACTGGCATTGGAGACAGTCCAGTGAAGGTTCACCAGGTTGATTATCTGTTTGGAGGAATTCTGTTTTGGGGAAATCTTAGGTAGGTTGAGTCTGTAATCATTTGACTTGGAAGAATGACAGGCAATCTTATTGAACCATGTATGATTCCAAGGGGGTTTGACAGATGCTGAGAAGTTGTTTTCCCCTACCGGGAGAGTCCATGACCAGACGGCATAATCACAGAGTAATGGTTGCCTGTTTATGACAGAGGATGAGGAGGATTTTTTTTCTGAGCTGATTAGCCATGATCTCATTGAATAGTGAAGCACTGATGGCTGAATGGCCCGCTATATCTTATCTATATCCTTTATCTTGGTGCTCCAGACTAAAATGCCACTCCTCTCTCTTCCTTCTCTCTTGCCCTCCCATCTTGGTCAGTGTTGGCATGGAGAGAAAGAGTGAGAGATTAGATTAATGCACCAAATCACAAAGTGAGGGATGACATGGTTGCTTTGGAAACAAGCGGAGGAGAAATTAACAAAAAAAAAGTGGGCGGCATAGTGGTTAGCACTATTACCTCATGGCACCATTGACCCGGGTTTGATTCTGGCCTTGGGTGACTGTCTGTGTGGAGTTCACACATTCTCTCTGTGTCTGCGTGGGTTTCCTCTGGGTGCACCGGTTTCCTCCCACAGTCCAAAGATATGTAGGTTAGGTGGATTGGCCATGCTAGATTGCCCATAGCGTCTAGGGACGCGCAGGCTGGGTGGGTTGGCCTTGGGAGGTGCGGGACTTCAATAGTAACTTTAAAAGTATTTTATGGGAATGTAACAGCAAAATTTGATATCATGTTACATAAGGAGATATTGCATCCAATGTCCAGAAGGAGCCTGCTAGAAGGTAGGGAGAGTGAGATATATTTAGGGAGGGTGTCCCAGAGCTTCAGACAATACTCCCAATGGTGGAGTAATTAAATGTTGCCCTCTTGAGGACATGATTTTAGAGGAGTACAGACATTTGATATGTAGGACTGGCAAGGGTAGTGAGGAATGGCGCCATGAGGGGCTTGCCAGCAATTGTTACAGAGAGAACATGATTAGCTGTAAATATAGGTCAGTGAGCACAATGATTAATAGGACTATGTATGAGTTAGGAAATGAGCACAGGATCAATTTTGGATGATGAGAGATTTACAGAAGATAGAACTTTTGAATCTGGTCAGGATTCCATTGGAATAATCAATTCTAAGCTAAAATGAATATTTCAGCATAACCTGAAGCTGAGCTATTAATGTTACAGATGGCTGCAACAAGGATTTTAAAGAATTGCACCTTCTGATCTCCTTTTAAGGCTTTTTGGGAATAATGAAAGAGAATTTGCAGTTTAATGGTTTTGTGACAACCTCTGGATAACACACCTTAGATCCAATTACGTACTCTGTGTCATTGTAGTAGTGCTGCTGTGAACAGATAAGTTTCTGCAGACAACAATGAGATAAGTGACCACATATGGGGAGGCGCTGACCTATTGGTGTTATCACTGGATTGTTAATCCAGAGATCCAGATAACCTTCTGGAGACCTGGGTTCAAATCCCTCTGCAGCAAATGGTGGAATTTGAATTCTATAAATATCTGGAATTAAGAATCCAATGATGACCGTGAATCCATTATCAATTGTCAGGAAAAACCCATCTGGTTCACTAATGTCCTTTAGGGAAGGAAACTGCCATCCTTACCTGGTCTGGCCTACAGGTGACTCCAGACCCACAGCAATGTGGTTGACTCTGAACTGCCCTCTCGGCAATTAGGGATGGGCAATAAATGCTGCCTAGCCAGCAATGCCCTCATCCTGTGAATGAATTTTAAAAATCTGATTTCCTGGTGTTGGATGTGGTGTAAGTGTTGGCCAGGCGGCAGGTGAATTTTTATTCACATATTCCCCAGAGACCTTTTCCATCCACCTGTGAGCTGCTAAAGACTCATCTTAATGTCTCACCTACCAAGAATGTTGCACTTCCTCAGCACTGCACTGCAGTGATAATTTGGATTGTGCTAATGTCTTGGAGTGGGGTTTGAATCCAGGTTTCTGATTCAAGATTCAAGTGTCACAACTGAGTATGGTTTGTTATGAAATTATGACCTCTCAGTATGATTTTCTGAATAATAGAATGATCTTTGACCATTTATAAGCTTTCACAATCTTGAACCAATGAGTGCTGGTAAAATATGTCTTCATGGCTTATTCTAATAAAATGCAATTTCAGTCTTTACTTGCAGTAGCAGCACTGGCCATAGGGTGAGGCGCTACTATTGGTGGGTAGAAGTTCGAGGGTGATTGAAAGCATTGCAATATTTAAAATGAAAATTAAAAAGTTCACCTCTTCAACTTTTTTGACATTTAGCCTGCTTGTCCTTTGTACAGAGGTGCTTCCTAATTGCATATCGGAAAAAATTGGGAGGTTACCATAACTTTTCTCATGAGGTTTGCCTCAAAATCTGCTAGGATTAAGCATTTACAATCTGATCTAATAATGCACAAAAGGATGTCTTGCTTGCCCACGTGCATAGTGCAATTTTGCCAAAATGAAAGATTCCCAACTTAATCAAGAGCTAAAGCTTATTTACCAATAGGTAATTTTCTGTAATCTCTAGTCATCTTTGAGTTAGTCTTACTTCAATCCTCTAGCACAGACGATATTTCTTTCCACAGCATTCTTGAAAATTGTGTACACAACCTCCTATTTCTTTTCTAATTTCTGTTTGGGATCCTCGTTAAGCAATATGCATTGCTTATTTGTCTATATTCAGTTTCAATAACCTCCAGCTCATTTCTCTTCAAATAATAATCTCCACTGACATTTCACAGTTATCCATCCACCTTGAGTGTTTCTCTGGTTCCAGTACTGTGTTCTCTGTCCAAAATGAAACACTTGCTCTGTATCTATGCGATTCCTTCAGTCTCCCCCCACTTGACATTCACTGCCTCCATCCCTCTTTTTCTCTGGCAAGGAGAGCAAAAGTTCATCCTGTTCTACTGATCATCATTCTTCCTCAACCAAGTTCATAAAAAATTGATTATTTGGTTATGAATTAATTTGCTGTGTGCAGAATTGCCAGAGTATTACCTGAATTATAACAGCAGCTCTATTTCAAAAGTACTTTATTGGATGCAATGTCTAGACGTGTTGATGGGATGTCTTGGACATGTAAAAAGTGTTACGCAAGTTCTTTAATTAAATAAAATGCAAGTTTTTTCTTTGAACGTTTGCATTTTGATTCTAAATTGGTCCTAATGTAAGGATCTTCATAATTTAATGCATTCCAATAGGAGAGAAGGGAATATATTAGATCGATATCCTTTCAATCACTTGTTTAAATAGTTGATGTATTTTTGCCTTCTAATTTTCCTTTCCATGGCATCTGTCCATTGTATCTTTTGACTAACTATAATGTGCTTTTCACCATTATATCTGTCTTTCTTTTTCCTTACATTGCATGTAATCACTGTAGTCAACAGCCCTAATTTACTTCTCCTTTTAGATTATCTACTATGGATAGTATTGAATAACAGTATCACAGTAGATTGATTCCTAAAGTCCTTTTTATCTGAGGGGATTATTTTTTGGGTATAAGGAAACTAACATTGGGATCTTCAATATCAAAATTGAATTTGCTAGATAATTCGGGCAGTTATCAACTTATTGAACAGTGGCCAACTTGTACCTTCTACTGACCAAGTGGTACAGTTTGACAGTGGTTCACAGACAAAATCAACTTACAAGCACAGTTAACTATAGTGAGAAACCGTTCTTGCAGCCCTTTAGAGTTGGGGTGCAGCTGTTCCTCACTAGGAGGAGGAGGAGAGGCACTTTGATCCTGACTGTTGGTCATAGAATTATAGAATGCCTTGAATCATTGAAGCAGGCTATTCAGCCCAACAAATCCACACCCACTCTCCAAAGAGCATCCCACCCACCCCACTACCCTATCCCTGCATTTCCCATGGCTATATTTGTGACCTACACATCCCTGGGCACTATGGGCAATTTTGCATGGCCAATGCACCTAATTTGCACATCTTTGGATTGTGGGAGCAAACTGGAGCACCTGGAGGAAACTCACACAGATACAGAATGTGCAAACTCCACACAGACAGTTACTGAGGGTGGAATTGAACCCGGGTCCCTAGTGCTGTGAGGCAGCAGTACTAACCACTGAGCCACCGTGGTGCCCCTCCCCCCAACTCAATGTAACAAAATGTTTCAGTTGTTTGAAATAATCTGCAGTTGACCAGGGAATAATATGAATAGCATATGCATAGAATTGGGAGGTAATTTGTCAAACCATTCTACCTGTGCACAATTTGACTTAATTGATGGAACGTAATGCGATCACTAAGGGTCTAGTTTACACTATTTTGCTGAATTGCTTGGTGTACCTGAAGGTTTGGTAGCATTAGCTCTTACAATAGAACGGATATCTGCAAAAGATTTACTTAACTAGAAATATCATCACATCCACTCCTCCCATATTACTCTTGTCTATCCAGTGCCTCCCTTTGCTTGCCCACCCTCTCTTCCTTACTACCCCTATTTGCTGTTCCATCCTTCCCATGCCATCTCATCCCACTTCTCCCACCTTTCCATCTCATCTCATTTCCACATTGGCTCTGATAGCCCCCTCCCAGGTACGCAACAGTTCCTTCATTGACAGCTTGAAAATCATCTGATTTAAATACAGCAGAATCAGTTGTGCCCAAAATAAACACAAGGCAACACTGAGATAACACGGTATGGAGCTGGAGGAATACAGCAGGCCAGACAGCATCAGAGGAAGAGGAAAGTTGACGTTTCAAGTCAGGACTTTTTATGAAGAAATGTCAGAACCCAAAACATCAACTTTCCTGCTCCTCTGATGCTGCCTGGCCTGCTGTGTTCCTCCAGCTCTACACTGTGTTATCTGTGACTCCGGCATCTGCAGTTCTTATTATCTCACAAGGCAACGCTGATATTGGGAGGTAATTTTCAAAATTTTGATGACAGCCAACATACAGAAATATGAATTTATTTGATCTTTAGATGTGTTGTTTCACCATCATAAGTGGTGTTTATATTTTATCTAATGTGTAACTCGATGAACTTGGATATGGTGAGGCATTTAGCAGATTGGTTGATGCGGAACACTCCTATACTGAATTGGAGCAGGGTTCTCTATATTTAAAAAAACATTTGAACGGGTACGTGGATAGAAGAGGTTTATAGGGATATGGGCCAAACACTGGAAAATGGGACTAGTTCAGTTTAGGAAACCTGGTTGGCATGGACGTGTTGGGCCGAAGGGCCTGTTTTTGTGCTGTATGACTCTATATTTAAAACCAGCTTCTATGTCTGTGTTGGGAAACGTGGGAAGTCTGAGCGCTGACACACCATGTGTTAGATATAGCAAGTTAATTTAGGGAAGGAATACACGGATGTACAGGAAGAGTGTAAGAATGCTGTTTGGGATTCAGTCACAGGGATGCAATTTACTGATTGATGTACAGAGTATCTTGATCAAATAGGTTAAAGTTTAACAGCACAATTAATAGTTACAATTGAAATGGATTGTTTCCTCATTGTATATTTAATGTTTGTTTTATAGGACTGATCTCTGCTCCTGTGAAAGTGAAAGTATCAGTGTGGTCCTCCGCGTTTACTCAGGCACTGGAAGCAAAAGAAAAGCTGCTTAACATCATTAATGAACGTCTCAAGAGCGAGGAGGATGGGTGAGTGTTGTCAAAATAATTTTTTTTAAAAAACTGTGCACACTGTAAATTTGAAATTAAACAAGTGCTTTAAATGTTCAGCAAGCCTGGCAGCACCTGTTTGGAAAAAGGGTCACAGTCAACTTGCAATGTTAAATCTTTCTCTGCCAGACCTACTGAATATTTCCAGAACTTTGTTTTAATTGTCAGGATAATCTTTCTTTTAAACTGTTCAATTTTAACTACTTTCTTATAAATTCAAACCTTTGTTCATCTGGTTAACGCATTGCAGTAAGAGAGTATTAATGTGGCACAGTATGGAAGGCAAGAGCTGCTTTCTAACTATTGAATCCTGATAGATGTGTCCTGTTGTGATGTGTGTGCAGAGAGGGAAAATGCTCCTAAGGATAGGGTGAGGTTTCCATGCACGATCAGTTGCATCTAGCCATACTCTCGGAAGAATGGAGAGAGCACTGACTTTGAGGATTCAACAGTCTGTCTACATGTGCTTTGGTGGCAGGGGTTATCTGCATTGTGGAACTAGATTTCATTTTTACTTTAAAGGAAGTAAATAAAGTATTCAGAATTATAAGAAATACAAATCAAAATTATAAGAAATACAAATCAAAAGTGCCCATGGGACAGCAATCTGATTTCTCTCCATGCCAAGAGAGCACTACATCCTGATGTTCTCAAACAAGGGACACTTTTGTTCTACCTTGATTCTACTCCATGTTGTCTGATCTTTGAGTTTGTGATGTCTCTTGGGAAGCAACAATTTGTTTCCAAATTAACTCCCTCAAAGCCGTGCTTATATTTTTGAACCCCATCCCTCCACTTGGCATTTTCTGACTGTAATTCAATATTTTTCCAGTGTTCCCTTTAGATTTTATTGTACTCTGTCATATGTATCCTGTTCCCAGCAAAATTGCAGTATATCAGTATTTTTCAGCTAATTGCCACTTAACTACCCAATCCCCCAACTCCTTGTATTTTTAATTTAGCTATAAGCCATACACATGCATTGTCGAACGTATTTCAGAACTTAAATTTATTTTTCCTTTTTAAACCTTTTGTAAAAAGCCCATTGAGTGTTCACTTGTCATTCTATCAAGCTGTTCTACAACTTGCCCCAGACATAAGTGTCACTGTAATTCCCTATAATATGCCAGTGCCCTTGCATACTCAGGCTTGAGTATGTCCTAATCAGGCTTGAGACAGATGGTTCGTATTTGGTGGATGATGTGACCTTCCCTTCATTGGGATTAAAGATAAAAGTTGCCATAGTCTTGCTAGGTCATAGGGCTGCTCTCTCAAATAGAGAGATATGATTGGTGGTGGTTTAACCTAAGGGTCACCATGACTCATGTGAGGGGAGAGGTCGAGAACAAGAGTCCTTCATGATAGCCTTAGCTCATGTAGGAATTGAACCCACACTCTTGGCGTCACATTAAATTCCAAACCAGCCATCTAGACAACTAAGATAACCAATACCCCCAAAAGAGGGATGGGTGAGAAGCAAGAGGTCTATGGTTCTATGATCAACAAACTTGCTTGCCAGCAGGACGATGAGCTAGGAGTTGAAAATTAGCTTAAGGCAGGAACGTACATCCCTCCCGTCTTTTTAGACTCCATTGCAGCTAGCTTTGGGATGCAATGAACCATCTCCTGTAGAGCTGAGAAAATAAGGGCTTCCTTGTCCCCTGCCAGCTATGCTTTGCTTTCTTCTCTTCTGTAATACCTTGCCCTGCAAGAGATGGCAGATTGTCATAACATGCATGCCAGCACACAGTCTATATCAGATTAATTGAGGAACATGGAGCCAGTGAGAGGTAGGTGTAAGGCTGGCAGCTTTGGCAGGTGTCTGAGAGTGGGTTAGAGCACCTGAATGCTAGATGTAATTTCTAAATGCTAAGAAATGCTACTGGATAAGTGATGAGGTTTTAGTGCATTGAGCAGCATGAAAGGTTGCTGTGGGAGATATTGGTAAAAATTGATTCATTGACTTTTAGTAACCATGGGTGGTAATTAACTTTCTACGCCACTGCTGACAGGTATTCAGATCCAGACTCCAGAGCTGACCTCGCTGTGTGCCTGCTCTCAGTTGTTCCTATCCACCTCTTGTTGCTTCCTGTGCCATGTCAGTCACCCTGGAGCAGTTTTGTTTGTCATGTTTTAAATTCCAGAAACTGTATTCAGTATAGCTTCTTCCCCTTTAATTAAGGGCAGGTCCATCTTAAAGATGCGATAAACCCAGTACTGGTTGATTGTGCTCATCAGGGAGTCAGAGGAAACCAGCATTAGGGAAGTGCTCAGTCCTACACTACAGTCAGAGTAATTGGCTGGGAGTAGGAAATCTCCATTGGAACCGACATGGGCAGATTGTGAATCATGACGACCACCACCACCACCCACCCATCCCCCTCATACCCCAAAAGAAACCTGACTTTTTACCCCAGATTGATTTGAGTAAAACACTTAATTGCAGATATAGAAGCAACAACTTCGTAGCTTCATAGCTATTCAGTGTTTCATCTGCCTCCTAACATTCTGTCATTTTTAATGAAAACCTTTATCATTCATGTTCTTCACAGTTACAGTAAACCAGTAATAGTTAATACATTTGGTGTAAATGTGTAATTTGAACTTGATAACTTCAACAGGCTGATCGCCAAAATAAGGACTGTACCATTCCCAGAAAACACCAATGCAGCACAGCATCTTCTCCTGTTCATTTCGGCACTAATCCCCAAGGCACTTGCATCGTTGTTGACCTCCTTTACAGTGGAGCTTGCTGGCTCAGACAAGGTACACTTCTGTTATTTCCTACCTTATACTGTTCTTAAAACTGTGACCAAGGTTGTTCAGGTTCACTTCTCTGTTAGCTGTATGTATTAATCAAAGTAATCAGTGTAATTTAAATGTTGGTTTCTGTATGTTTCTTCCTCCTTCCAGACTGACTGACTCTTTTTTTTCCCAGTATAACATTACTGATTGCCCTTTAAAGTTATTTACTGACCTGTTCCTTCCGACTGTGTTTCTTTTCTGTTCTGTGGTTACCCTTTCATTCGACTATCTTCACTTCTCCTCCATTCTGTAGCTTTGTCTGAGTGGCCTGTTTGAAGGTGTCATCTTGCAACTCCTCAGGTAATTTTGGTATATTGGTGTTTAAGTATTCCAAATTATGGTGCTTACACTAATGTCAGTGAAATCGGTAAGTAAAGAAGTGATAATTTAATCTCTATTAAATTAGGTTACAAAAATGTCAATTTACATATTTGTTTCCATTAATTAATCTCCTTTTTCGTATACGTAGAATTAATCATTGCTGATTTAATGATTTATATATGTATTTGCTGCACATTTCCTGGAAAAATTAATTGACTCATTGCTACAACACAAACTTGTAATTGTAAGTAAAACCCTCCAAAGCTGTAGCAGGAATGTTATCAAACAAAATTTGACTGTCAACTGAGATATTGGGTCTGGGGATAGTGATCAAAATCTTGGTCAGAGATTTTAAAGAGGGAGAGTGGAGAAGTTTAGGAAATGAATTCCAGAGCTTTAGGACCTTGGCAGCTGTCGACGTGACTGCCTGTGATGGAGTAACTAAAATCTGGATTACGCGTGAGGCCAGATTTGAAGGAGCCAAAATCTCTCAGAATAAATTAATAGGGTTCCTGCATCTTTAGTAGAATAAAATTCCATTATCATGAAACTATCATTGACTGTTGTAAAAGTTTATCCGATGCACTGATGCCTTTTAAAGAGGGAAATCTGCTGTCCTTACCTGGGTCGGCCTACATGTGACTTATAGCAATATAATTCATTCTTAACTGCCTTCGGAAATAGTCCAGAAAGACATTTAAGTTCTGGGCAATTATATATGGGCACCAAAGCCCAGTGATTCCCACATCCCATGAAAGAAAAAAAGTTAGTTAATGACATCTTAAGTAGGTCTCTTGGATAAAATTAGAGTAAATGGGTCTCAACTATAGACTTGCACACAGTCTTGTTCTGCTTGTTCCTGCTTTGCCTTACCTTGTTTTACTATTCAGTGTTTCTGAAGAAAGTATATACAGAGTCCTCCATGACCACAACCAGACATATCTACACTGACACCAACAAGCACACCTCGTCTAATACTGGAGAGCAAGAAAGGAGCAAATGGGGAATCTGGCACTTAGTGTTCATCCAATTATTGATGTTCTAGCAATGTCTCAAACAGCTACCAAGCACTAGACTGTTTCTGATTGGCAGCTTCATGGCTGATAACTGTTCTTGTAGAAGTCTCCAGTGCAGCCAGTCAGCAATAGTAACAGATGAGATTAAGGAGGAGGAGAACAAAGCTGTACAGGATTCCAGTTACTCAAAGCAAGTGATTATGGAGAGTTGTGAACGTGGACATTGTGGATAAACATTGGACAAGTTTGGAATACCAAAGTCAATCTCATATATTTACAAGTTTCATTGACTTGGGCAATTTTTTTTTTGGATATTTCCTGACCTGGAAGCCTCACTTACAAACTTCCATGATTTTCTAGACTTTTCACGACCTGCAGGAACTCTGAATTAAATGCAGTCGAGCCATGAATAATAGTGTTACCCAACTGGTATAATCAATAATCAATTCCATTGAACTACAGTATTTGGTACCAAAATGTGTCATTAAAGTATCAGCTGAACTAGAAATAGCTCAAATTGTTCAACAGCATTTTCAAAAGCCCTGAAAGTACTTAATCCACCTTCAACCCCCCACCATGAGCAATACAATGCAACTATCAGCCACTGGAAAGGCAGGAAGCAATCCATCTCCTCTTCATCAAACTTGGAGATTGGATGGGAAGACTTGAATGTTTCCACAGAATCCATTCAGCCCAACAAGTCCATACCAACTCTCCAAAGGATATCCCACCCAGACCCATTCCCCACCCCTTTCCCTGTAACTCTGCATTTCCCATGGCTATTGCACCTAACTTACACATCCCTGAACACTATGGGCATTTTAGCATGGCCAATCCAGCTAACTTGCATACCTTTGGGCTGTGAGAGGAAACCAGAGCCTCTGGCAGAAACCTATGCAGACACAGGGAGAATGTGCAAACTACACACAGACAGTTGCCTGAGGGTGGAATCAAACCTGGGTCCTTGGCTCTGTGAGGCACCAGTGCTAACCACTGAGCCACCATGCTGCTCATTTCAGTCCTTAAATATGGTTTATGTGTTGTTCCCTCACCAGTGCTCTCATCACTGGGGTTCTGTTTTCAGCTTGGAGTGTTTCAGCAGGAACTCTTTCCCTTTCCTTGAGTTCTTTTCTTGCCTCTTTCTTCCTCTCATTTGTCTGTTCCTGAAATTCACTTTTCCTCCCCTTCCTTTTCTGTTGGAATCCAAATTCTAATTTCTGCTGCTCCAGCTTTAGTTTTTTCACTTTCCTCAGTTTTGAGCACCTAGATATTTCGTTTGAAATTTGTTTTTCTGGCTTTCAGGTAGAACCGAACCTGTAAGTGCTGAGCTACTCCTTTTAATTCTTCTAAGGATAGCTTTTTTTTTAAAAGGATTATCATCCTGTTCTATGAAAGCATTGACATCTAATGTGGCTGTTTTAGTAGTGAAGTATTACAGATCCAAGAGAACTTTTCTTTCAGTTTCAATTTTTTAACAGCTTTTGAAGAAACAGCTCATTTTTCCCCCCATTCCAATTCTTTCATGATCTTCATCAGTCTTCAATGACATACCCATCGGCAAGAGGAAGTCCGGAAAAGAAACCGGAGAAAGAGATGCCAAGGATCTCAAGGCCAAGGACCATTTCCACTTCCCAGAAACACCTGCCAAATGATGCTGCTCTAGGATTGGGCTGATCAGCCACACAAGGACCCAGAGAACCAATGACCAGTGCCACGGAATTTCCTCAGTGGGTAATCATACTCATTAGTGAGCGATGGCCGAGGACAATCAGTACAGAACTTGAATACTGCAATCCATTTTGTCGAAGCTTTTCCTCTTGAGAGGGCTATTTGCAGAGAGAGGTCAATATAGACTGGTTGTCAAGTAAACACTAATGAGTGCAAGATATGAAGCTTGGACAAAATGTGTCCTTTTTTTCTAGTAACACTATGGTACTCTTCCTGTACGAATTTGAGTTCCGATTGTGTCAAATCATTTGGTATGTCTTCCCCAGCCCCTTAGTTGCAGCATAAGCATTAGGTCTTGCCACAAGAGGGCCTCAGCAATATGCTAAAGCAGACCAGACCAGCTAAATTAATTCAGCAGTATTGCAATTTAACCAATAGGTGGCATGCATTTAAGTAGATCTAAGATCCACATTCCACTCAAGTATATGCTAACACTAGCCCATAACTCAGTAGAATCTTTATAAATCAACATCTGATATTTTCAGACAAAAGCCGCTCGTGTCGCACATCATCCTGACCTAGGACAGTATAATGGTTCCTTCATTGCAGGGTCAAAAGCCTGAAACTTCCTTCCTGATAGCACTGTGGGTACCCATCATCACCCTGTCAAGGGCAATTAGAGATGTTGGCCTAGCCAGCAATAACCACATTGCTTGAATGATTTTTTTTAATATAAAAAACTGATACAGCATTGTCAAAAAGGAAAACTGTATCTTTGTGGTAAAGCAACAGTGAACACAATTTGCTGGAAGCTGTGTCGTCCTATAACTGACCAATCCGTGGTTATCCTTGTGCATTGACTGAAGCTACACAGAATGCCAGTGGTATATTCTTTGTGTAAGTCTCTTTTGAAGGGGGAACTTTGGTTTGCTTGACATGGAAGCTATGCTCAGGTCATTTTCAGCCACAGCCCAGAGCAAGCTGTCCTACCTGTGATTCTCAGAATGACCATTCTAATTAGCTTCGGGAAAAGCCTGTGTTCCTGATGATGTAAAGAGGATTTTGAGTTTCTGCTATTCCTGGACAAAGTAACTTCCTGTGTTCCTTCATTTTAGCCCACTTCTGGGCTTGCTGCTCTTTCAGGCATGGGTTCTCTTGGTGAGGCCAGCACTGGACAATGAACACAACTGCCAACGCTTCTGAAGTATGTCAGTAGATCCCAACTTACTTCCATAAGGTCCTTACTTGAGCATTGCTCTATACCTACCAAAATGGATGTAAGAACTATGCCAACACAAATTAAATGTCAGGTCGTGTCTAATATTTTAATCCATCTGCACCACGTTCTTGTTAGGCATTGGGTGGGATTGAGTGGTGGCTTAAATTGGGTCTTAAGTTCTTGCAAAAGTAATGAATGCGATCTCTATTGACTTGAGTCTCAATCCAGCAGTGCCTCCATCCTAAACTTCCAAAGACTAGGACAAGTCAGGAGTCTAATACTTAGTCATCAAGGTCTACAGCACAGAAAAGGTCCTTTGCCCCATTGAGTCTGTGCTGGTCAAAAACAAGCACCTTACTGCTTCTGGTCCCATCTTCCAATACTTGGCTCATGGCCTTCTCTGCTTTAGCATCGCAGTGCACATCTAAATGCTTCCTAATGTTATGAGGGTTTCTGCCTCTACCACCTTTTACAGGCAGTGACTTCCAGATTCTCACCACCTTCAGGGTAAGTCTGTAATGATTAATTGACTAGCTTTTAAGCAAAAGACTTGCTTAACCAGACATATCATCGCATCCACTCCTCCTGTACTAGCCTTGTATGTCCAGTGCCTCCCTTTGCCTGCCCACCCTCTCTACCTTACAACCCCTATTTGCTGTTCAATCCTTCCCACACCATCTCGTCCCATTTCTCCCTTTCCATCTCATCTCCTTTCCAAATTGGCCCTGATAGCCCCCTCCCGGGCCCACAAACAGCAGTTCCTTCATTGACAGGTTGAAAATCATCTGAATACAGCAGAATCAGTTGTACCCAAAATAAACACAAGGCAACACTGACAAAATGAAGTAGGTTTAAGCTTTGCTCTTTTAATGCATTAAGTTAAGACAGGGAGAGGGTTGCAGAAATACTTTACTGGATGCCTTTGCATCCTTCTCACATCATCCTCCCTATACCACTTAGAGTAAACCTTCAGGGAATTGTTATGACTGTTTTACCCTTGCATCTGCAGAGAGAGATTTACTAAAACAAAAGATAGCTCAAGTTACTGGGCCTTATTTTGTTTGAAGTTGTTCTGCACCGGTAGGATGACAGTTGGTCAATTAAAACATTACTGATACGTTCCTGACACAAATGTTGCAAGTATATCAATTCTTTGGTCCAGCTGATGAAAGGTAATTGCAATAAAGTTCAAGATCCTCTGTCACATGTACCACATTCAACCACCTGACTAATCCAAAGTACAGACGGGCAAAAACTGCATATTATAGATGAGTATTTAGTTTATGAGCACGAATTGAACCAGTCAAATCTGAAACACGAAATATGCTTTTCAGTTTATGCTGTTAAGCTAGTGGTGTCAGTTTCCTATCGGAGTCCTATCGGAGATGGCCTGTCAGATACTTTGGACATCTGAACCAAGCAGGACTTGATCTGCTGCATTAGATCCCACATAAAGGCAATTGCATTTTTTAAATGCACAAGAACATTGAAATAAATATAGATTTTTTAATACGTTTATATGTATCTGTAGTCCTTCTTTCCAGTGAGCTGACTAGAATCTTGTGTTGCACATTTATTTTTCGGAATATAATTCCAGAACGGAAGGTTCAGTACAGGTACTAGGAATATATGGTGCTGTTTTACAATTAATGTGTTTGAACTGATTTACAAAACCGTGCCCTGAACCATTCAATCAAAATACACAAACTTTGAAATATTACAACAGGAAATCTCCCCATCAACCCTATGTTGTGGCTAACATTTAAATCTCCCACTCCCAGTCCCCACCAGAGTAGCAGAGTGTTCTAATTGCTGATTGTGCTGTACAATGATTGCTACGTTGATTTGTATGTTGATGACTGTATTTTAAATAAAAGAATCACAAGTAAATTTCTCTGGGGTGTCCACTTGTGAAAGCACTTTTCTTAAGGATTCTCTAAGGTGATAGATCCAGCAGTGACTGAATCATCTGGTTGGGAACGCTCTTTTGTTGATCTATCGAATCTTCATACTACCTGTGCACAATTTGATTTAATTGATCAATGTAATGTAATCAGTAAGGGTCCAGTTTACTCTAGTTTGGTGTACCCTGATTTTCCTGGTGTACCTGGAGGTTTGGTAACATTAACTCTTACAGTAGACTTACAGAGGAAATTGTTAATTTTAGCCCAAAATTCTTTTGAAATATATTTGACATTTAGTTGAAAAAATGGAATGCCAAAGGATGGAGACCGAACAGGATAATGAACCTAGACTAAGTGGGATATGAATAATTATGAGAAGGAAGCAGGAAACTGCAGTTAGAAGGGTAGGATATTACAGGTTATGGGCAATGAGATTAGACTAAGCAGAATATGCGATTGTACAGGAAACTGGGATTAGCCTAGATTAATTATACTGGAAAAACTACCGGCACAAATTGATTGGTCAAATGTAACTGAGAACAATTCCATAGCTATGATGAAAGCTACATGCGTTGTATTATAAACAAGCTGCTTCATTTACTGGTATTATGGAGCACAGTATGGGAATATAAGTATCAAAATAATTTTAATTAGTTGTACAAGGGACAATGTTTAGATTTACGATGGTATAAACAAACATAAAACACAAGAGGTCAATGTCTTTATTCCAACAACTACATTATTGGTTAGGAACTGTGCAAATTGAGGGATATATTTTTTTTTAAATGCCTTATCAGACAGCAAAATAAATTGAACATAGAATTAGTCTATATCCAGGCGAGGATCAAGGTCACTTAAACTCTCAAATTGAATGGTTCTATTATTGCTGGATATAATGCTTTGGAATATCCAAATATTCTGTAGTCCAATATTAAAAAGTATAGCTCACAATCTCTTGGGAATGTGCAGAACGAAACTTATAAATAGCTTAGTGATCATTGCATTCCAGAGGGGCAGAAATTAGTTGACTCACTGACAGAATAGGCCCTTGCTACGTATGGCTTCAGTTGCCGAATTGGTAGCTAGAATACTGTAAACATCTTCCCCTATCTGCATTTGAATCTGGTATGGTTCCATACCAGTATTATAGTTTGCAGTTTGCAGATTCCAGCCTCTAGTGTTTCGGCATATCTTCAAAATAATGAAGCTACAGTGGCCATTAGGCCCACATCTAATTTAAACTCTAAACTGATGCTGATTTTCAGTGTAACATTTATCTTTAGGTTGATCTCCGCAAACGAGCTCAAGAAAGTGAAGATTATTTAGACCACGTGCTACTAGAGGTGGAAAGACTCTGGCCGTCCTTTATTGGGGGTCGAAGAATCGCAAAGCAGGTATTGACTTTCCCGGAACAGTTACTATTTAATGATAAACTCATTCATAGTGAAACCTTATAGTGCAGATGCGATACTGCAGTGCTGCCACAATGCTTTAAAGCAGGTGTTTGAAGGAGCTAGCCAGTTAAATTGCAGAGTCGTCCTGCACCCCTCCTGTGAAATACCTTAAAAGATTTTACTACATTGAAAGGTGCTCAGTATTTATGAGAATACCCTGTGCTGGATTTATGTGTAGATTGGAGAGTTACAGCACTTCAGGGGTCCATTTGAACTCCCTGACCTGTAGTCACAGCGACCCTTGATCTTGGTACTCTCATAATATCAAGTACAAATAAGTATCGTGATCACTTTCTTATTGTCATGCTCCACCCACGTTTCCCCTTCCTGCATCCAATCTTATGTCTTCTGTGTCCATACCTGGAATTAATCTCTCTTACAACTACACTTTCAAAATTCCAACTCTCTATTCTTTGACTCTCATTTACCAATACATTTCTTGTCCACCAATCTGCTGAATTATACATTCACCTCCATGTTTGCCCTTGTCCCCATTTAAAACATTACCTTTTTCACTTTGACAGTTCACCCTGGTTTTGGCCTCATCTCTGCCACCTGGGATTCACAAAGTATGGAATGGCACCCAGTTGCTTTAGCCATAAACTGCTAGTCTGACTGGTACTTGTAAAGCACTATTGAGTCCTGCGTTCAACTGCCCAAACTGTTCACTATTTCAGGATCAATCTGAAATGTGAACATGACCCCCAACAATTTTTTTCTACTGTGAACAACCTTTTCAAAGCCCTCTTTGTCCTCCAACCTAACCTTCAATATAATGTGAGAGGAATTCATTAGTTTCTTTGCGTGTAAGAATAGAATCATCTGATTACTGCTTTTCTTTTTCTAGCTTGAGTTCTACAGGCTGACATTCTTCTGAGTCCCCATCCCCTACAACCCCTACCTAGCCCTGAACTTTTGCATCTTCTAGTTTCTCTCTTATCACCTCACCTGCCGTCTGAACTCACCTTAGCCAGTGACCCATTTCCCATTCACTCAACCCTGTTCCTGTTAAACTGTAGATCACCCAGCCTCCCAATCTGGCTCCCAAGATAGCTGATTATTATCAATGGTTCTCATTCTTCATTCATGAAAGCAGCTATTGTCCTCAAAAAAAAAAGCGACCTTGCCTTCCCCATCCTTGTAAACAATCGCACCATCACTGCCATTTTCAAAGTCATTGAACTGCTACCTCCTAAATTCATGCTGGTCTATCTTGGGGCTTCATTTTAGGAATCCTCCGCACAGGGGTTCTCTGTCTACCAAAATAGCTGACACCAAATCAGACGTGTGACTGTACCAAAGGTAAAAGTAGCCACTTCTTGGCCTGGCTGTGACCTTTGACACAGTTGACTGTGCAATTCTCCTTCGAAGCCTCTCCACCATTAATCCGGGTGAAGGCGACAACACTTGTCTGATTTTATTCTGTCTCTTTTTCTTTTTAGTCATTCACAGAATGTGGCTGAGACAACATTTATTGCCAATTCCTAATTGTCCAGGGGACAGTTAAGAGCCAGCCACGTTTCAATGGGTCTGGAATCCCATGTAGCCCAGACCGGGTAAGGCAGCAGATTCCCTTTCCTTGTTTTTCCAACAATTGGCAACAGTTTCACTGTCACCATTAGACATTTTTTTTAAAATTGAATTCAAATTCCACCAACTGCCAAGGTGGGATTCAAACCCAGGTCCCCAGGATATTACCTGGGTCTCTGGATTTGTAGTCTAATGATTATACTACAAGGCCATTGCCTCCCTGTCTATCTAATTGTAGCCATGAAATTACCTACATTGGCTTTTCTTCTTGCTCCCACATCTGTTACCTCTCATATCCCCAAAGGATCTATCCTGACCCTCCCCTATTTCACATTTATATGCTGCCCTTGGGAACATCATCTGCAAACAGCCAGTTTCCATATATACAATGATACGCAAGTCTACATCACTGTCACCTCTGTTAACACCTCTACTGTGTCTATAAATTGTCACAGTGCTTGTCTGGCGTCCAATACTTGATGAAGGAAATTTTCTTCCAACAAAATATTGGGAAGGCCAAAGCCATTGTCTTAGTTTTTATCGCAAACACAGTTCCATTACTGCCAACTACCCTTTTTCCTGGCAACTGAAGCTATGTAACCTTGGTGTCTTTTTGAAGCCACGACGCGCTTCCAGCCCCACATTTCAACTTCTGTATATTTGTTCTTGCATCAGAATTTGCAGCTGAAATCCTCATCCATACCTTTGACTTGATTCTTTCAATGTATCAATACTCTGCTCACTAACCAGCTATTAACTCCTCGTTAAGCAGCAAATATTAAGTTTTCATCCTTGTTTTCATATCTGTCTGTGGCCTTGCCCTTCACTATTTCTGTAACCTCCAGCAGCCTTCCCTAAGTTTTTCCATTTTTTTTCTCTCTCTCTCTCTGTTCCTCTTTAAGACCTGCCTACGTACTAAAGATTTTTTCATTTGTCTTGATTCCTTATGCGGTTCAGTTTCGAATTGTTTTGAATGACCTAACTGTAAAGCGGCTTGTCAAAGGTTCTTAGTAAGTACAAATTGTTGGTATTACGTCGCAGCAGCTAATGCCTTCATAACAAGAGCCTGCACTTTAAAGGTAGTTCATGGGAATGTCCCGAGAAGGGTAATAAGATGATTTTTGTAAGTTATTTGGCTTGTTTTGTGGAAGACTAAATTCAGATTTCTTTTCTAATTTGTGCGTGTTTTTATATACTTGCTTTCCTATGCTGTTTCTAACAGGACACCACCCTATGTGGTTATGTGGTCCCGAAGGGTTATGTAGCATTATTCGTCGCCTTTGCTGTCCATAGGGATCCTGAAATTTTTGATGATCCTGATGAATTCCAACCTGAAAGATGGTCTGGGAGGTTTGTACTTTCTTAATTTAGTTCTTATAAGGTTAATCTTTGTTTAGCTGTGCTTTGTCGTTGGAAATATTAAATGTTACTAATTTCCATTAATGACATGGGTTCGGAAATTTAGTACAAAATGAATGAAATACGCAAATGACACCAAATTAGGGTGGACAGTGAAATTGTGAGAAGCAACTTGGAACCACACAGGATACAAACAGTGATTAATGAAACTTAAAGGAGATGGGTGTAAGGAGCTACAAAATTGGAAAGATAAATAGATGCTGCACATATTCCATGATATTGAAAAAGTTGGAGCTATGAAAATGATTGGGCTTGTTGGAGATCAGTATCTCAGCCCCTGACAGTTTTCTTATAATTTTGTAGAATCCGTACAGTGTGGAAACAGGCCCTTCAGCCCAACAAGTCCACACTGACCCTCAGAGCATCCCACCCAGATCCATTCCCCAAACCCACCTAATCTACACATCCCTGAACACTATGGGCAATTTAGCATGACCAATCCACCTAATCTGCACGTCTTTGGACTGTGGGAGAAAACCAGAGCACTTGGAGGAAACCCACACAGACACAGGGAGAACGTGCAAACTCCACACAGACAGTTGCCTGCGGGGGAATTGAACCCGGGTCCCCGGTGCTGTGAGGCAGTAGTGCTAACAACTGAGCCACCATGCCATATGGTATATTGCCATCCTGATGTCAGAATTGAGGATGTCATAGTTTGCTGTTTCAGAGGATGAAGAATAAACAGTTGTCATCCATGTTGGCACCAGCAACATAGATGTAAAGGTAGCTGAGATATTTTGGACAGATTGAAGGAGTTAGGAAACAACCTAACTAGCAGAATCTTGAAGGTAGCCACCTCCAGATTACTTAATACGTTGCTTGCTAGTAAGTAGAGAAATAGGAGGGTCAATGAAATGAATCCATGGCTTTAGAAATGGTGCAGCAGAGAGGCGTTTAGATTCTTTGGTCTTTGGAATCAATTATGTGGAAGGTTGGATTTTACAAACTGTGTGGGTTAAACTTGAACAAGAAAGGTCAAGGACAATCTATTTGATTAGAGTACCAACGGGATGTATTTTATAGGCCAACAGCTCAAGGAAGAGAAACAGATTTGCAAAAAATAGAGGTAAAAATATAGCGTGGTGACCACAGGAATTCAACTATACTAATAGAAATGTGATAGTAATAATGTAAAGAGGAGAGATGGAGAACTATTTTTGCAGCGCATTCGGGAGAATTTTATAGATGACATTTTTCCAGTCCAACGAAGAAGGAGGCATTGATAGACCTGGTCCTAGGTAACGTTTGGGGCAGTTATCAGTTGAAAAAATGATTTGGGAGTTGATGATTGTAGTATCATAAGGTTTACATTGCCTATGGAAAAGGGCAATAAGAATTTTGGAGTAAAAATGTATAACTAGAAAGTACTTAATTTGAATGAGATGAAATTGGAATCAAAGATTGGTAGGTAAAGCTACGATACAAAACATTGAGAGATAGTAGGAACTGCCGATGCTGGAGTCTGAGATAACAAGGTGTAGAGCTGGATGAACACAGCAGGCCAGGCAGCATCAGAGAAGCAGGAAAGCTGATGTTTTGGGTCTGGACCCTTTTTCAGAAATGAGGGAGGGGAAGGAGACTCTGAAATAAATAAAGAGAGGGGGAGGTGATGATAGAAGGTGGGTAGAGGAGCAGATAGGTGGAGAGAAGATGGACAGGTCAAGGAGGCAGGGATGACGCCAGTAAAGGTGAGTGTAGGTAGGGAGTTGGGATGGGGGTTGGTCAGTGAGGAAGGAGGGGCGGGTAGGTGGGAGGGAAGACAGACAGGTCAAGGAAGCGGGGATGAGGCTAGTAGGTCGGAAGTGGGGGTGGAGGTTGGTCAGTGAGGTGGGTGTAGTGGATAGGTGGGAGAAAAGACGGACAGGTCAAAGAGGCGGGGACAAGATGAGCTGACCTTGGGATGAGGCTGGGGGAGAGGTCGGAAGAAGCCTCCCCCACCCCCAGCCCCCACCATTTCTGAGGAAGCCCTCTCTCTATTTATTTCAGAGCCCCCTTCCTCTCCCCCACTTCTGAAGAAGCAAGCTTCAAAATCTCCCCACCCCCGGAGCTAGGGAGAAACAAGACCTTTGGGCACTGAGTCTGGACTGTGGTTGCCAGGTGACCTTGACCTGCAGATAAGACTGGTGAGGCTGATCCTTTGTATCAGGGAACTAAATTATGAGGGGAGACGAGAGAGACTTGGGGTTTTCAATCTGATAGGGAATCATCTAATAAAAATAAAGATTTTTATGCTACTGAAGTCTCAGTCAAACTAGGTAACACGGATGCAAACTACAGAAAGCTAAGTTTATGATAGATCTTGAAAATTCATCACTCTACAGCATAAACTACTTTCAAGTAGAGTAGTCAAGTCAATATCTTGGCAGAATTACATAAACAATTGAATGCTACAATAGGAAGGTAATTCTGATCACTGTGGATGCGTTTAGTTAGGCTAAATAACCAAGATTATCCAAAATTAGTTAGGATTTGTTCCTATAATTTTGCAGAAAAAGTGCTCAAGGAGTGCTAGGTTTTTCATTTTTAAAAAATATTAATAGTTTCAATGTCTAATTTGCAGTTTTGCTAGGTTGTTGGTGCAGTTACTGAACATTCCAAAGTAATTGAAAAGTGAATTATTTCAAGGATGTTCTTAATGAGATGGGCTCATGTTTGTATTGTCATGTGGAAGGAGATAAATTAGGATTGGTATTTCAAACAATATCACATGATTGCACAAGACATGAGGCAAATATTATAAGGTACCATGAAGTCTTTAGAATAGCTGGCCAAGAATGCTGCTTCCTATCACGAGTGAAGAATTTGTTGACTAGCACGCAACCCATGAATAGCTTACTTGTCTCTCAAGCCTACAGAGCCCCTTTGAAGAAAGCAGCAGAAGCTTCATTTGTGCTGTTTATGTGGATGATTTATGAGGGATATTTTCCATCATTGACAGTTTTCCAGGTCCTTACCAAACTGCTGTAATGTTCACAATTGGAAGATTGCAAAAAAAAATTACAGCTAATTTTAATTGACGAGCCAGGCCCAAATGCATAGAGACCACATCATCAAGGCCACAAGCATTGAAGAATGGAAGAATTTGCAACGACATGGTACATTTCATACATTCTGAATGTTTAAAAGTGCCTCACATTCATTAAAGTATTTGGAAAGCATAGTCACTGTTGTAAGGAGAGCAGCCAGCAACCAATTTAGGCACTGCAAATTCTCTCACACAGCAATGAGGTGCATGACAAAATGGTCTACTTTGGTTTAGTTGAGGTAAGTGTTGCCTAGGAAACCAGGAGTACTCCCAAGTTGTTCCTTGAATAATGCAAAGGATCTAACACTCACCTATGAGAAAGCATACTCTGGTTTAATGTTTCATCTGCAATCTGGCTGTTATGCAGCACTTCCTCCATAATGTACTATGGTATCGACATATACATAAAATTCTACATGGGGCTTGGGCCAGCAATCATCTTGTTGAGAAACAAAGCTATTCTCAGTGGGACCAAGGTTTAAAAGATGAAGTAAATCAAGTTTAAAGATGAGATGTTAATCAGTTCTAAATAAACATGGAAGTTTCTCTATAAAATACCTGACAAAGATGTCACACAAATGCACTAATCAAGTAATATCACAGGCTTGGTAATCAGACAACACTTTGTGGACAGTATTTACTATAGACTGCAGCCACTGATGGAGGATTTGATATTCAGACTGGTGGGTGAGCTGCCTATTATACTCCTACCCATCTCCATCACTTCCTTTGGAAGTCGTTCCACACATGCACCACCCTCTGCATGTTTCGTTTTGAATATGTTGAGATTCTTGAGAGATGCATTCATTGGAGCAAATGTAAAGTGTTCCATCACATTTCTGATTTGTGCCTTATAAGATAGGGAACAAAAACAAAGTTGCTTTTCTGAGGAAGGTTCACCAGACCCGAAACGCTAACTCTGTTTTCTCCTCCACAGATGCTGCCAGACCTGCTGAGCTTTTCCAGCAACTTTGTTTTTGTTCCTGATTTACAGCATCCGCAGTTCTTTTGGTTTTTATTAAGATAGTAGAGAACCCTGAGGAACTTTTGGGAGTGAAGTTACTTACCATAGAATTCCCAGCCTCTGATCTGCCCTTGGTCCCACAGGATTGATGAGGCTGGATTGATTTAAATTTTTGGTCAATTCGAAATTTCCAGCATGTTGAAGGTCAGACATTCAATGATGATAATTGCATTGACAGTCAATAGAATGTGATTAGACTTCCTTTTATTGAAGAGGATCACTGCCTGCCAGTTGTTTGGGGTGAATGTCAATCACCACATATCAGTCCAAGCCCGGATATCATTTTGCTGTTGCTGGGTATGGTATGGACAACTTCATTTATGTAAGGAATTGTGAATGAAAAGCAAAAACTCTTTCCCAGATTTCATTAGGAAGAGAAGATCTTTGCTGGTCCCAGTTGGAGGTGGGAGTAGGTTAATGTAAGTTGATGATGAGTAGTTGCCTGTAAAGTGGTTCCAACAATATCCTCCTTTACCAGCTCAGGCAACATCTGTAACTTGCGTGCACTCATTAACTTGATGCTTTGAAAGTATCCTAATCAGTATTTCATATATTGATCTAAGATTAATAAAGATGTTTGATGCTATCTTGTACTGTATGGGTAGTTCGAGATATTATGGACAATCAACAATAAATTTTGTCAGTATATTTCAGATAATTGACAAAAAGCCTAGAGTTCCAAGCTGCTGGCTGTTATCTATTGTATTGGTCTCCTACAGGTCTGCAAGTGTGTTCCTCTATTCATTCTTTTACGGGATGTGAATGCTGCTGGCAAGGCCAGCATTTGTTTTCAAACTCAATTGTCTTGGAGAAGGTGATGGCAGCTGGAATACAATTGTGTGGTTTGCTAGACTGTTTCAGAGGGCAGTTAAGAGTCAA